AGAAATGTACTTTAAATATGAGACTTTGTTTTCATGGAATTGATCTCCATTGGAATAATTTGTAATGTCTGTTGCCATGTCTCTGTGACTTTTGTGTATAGTCATTACAAGATGATCATTGCATATAAGTTTAGAATCTAAACAAATTATAGCAAATGGCAAGAATTTAGTATTCTTACATTTATGATAAGGATTTGGAATTGTGAAATGAGCATTATTGAAATGTTGTCAATTGATCTATTTCACAAAGAAAGGACCATAGGAAAACATAGTGTGCATGCTTGGAGCATGGCATAACTGTTGTTTTAATTCAAGTATTTAAGTTGATAATCGAAACATTATACAATGAATAATGTGTAATCAATATTGTGATTAAATAAAAGGTGTTTTATTTATATTCATAAGTTCTGAGACCATATTGGATTCGATTATTCTTGTGTTTCACTTTGCATGTTTTGACTTCCTGAATAACTAGGTTATTCAAACCATCCACATTCGATCATACTTTGGAAGTAGGTATTGAAGCTAGACTGTCATGAATGGGTTTGTAGATTGTCTAAAGGCGTTCAGACATAGCACAAGTTTGTTGTAGTGTTTATGAGTACTCCTATAATAAGATTTGAGTATTGGATTAAACCCACGCTCATCTGAATCACTTCATGGATTTTATCACGAGTGATTGTGAGACGATAATATCTTATATTCTTGAAACCAATACATGTGAGTTGTAGTTTACAAGTCGGTTGCACATTGACATATGTAAACGCACCAGTAACTTGGTGTTATAAAACATATTGTTGTGTGTGATTTGATGAGTAAGTACAAGAAAGCATTTGAGTCGAAGTTTATCCATTCCTTTTACCCTTAGAGGGATAAAAGCGATATGTGTGGGCCCCCCCCCGATGATTTAGTGATGACAACCCTAAACGCTTGGCCCAGCCTGGACTGATTTGATTTGTTCAATTAGTCAGTCGTCATAAATAGGAGATCGGGAAACAACAAATGGACAGAGAGAATAATTATAATCCATGTCTCAGTCCATATGATATCTTGTAGAATGGAGGAATATATGACCCCTTATCTAATGGACGCGTCATTGACTAGGTCAGAGTTTGATAGCGGCTTTTAAGAGCTACGATTGCTAGTTGGGTTGTGGAGTCGTACTTGCAATAATAGTTATTAGACTTATCTAAGTGGGAGACTGTTGGATTAGGTGTCTAAGCCCATAACTATAATTGGTACGTACTTGAGCCGAGAGTAGCATGGTCAATTTGGGTTGCCTTCACCAGAGCAATTTGATAGGATGGACTTTTGAGAAGAGGTTATTTGTGATTTATTAATATATTATAAGTTCTAATATATTAATATGAATCATATGATTTAATTAGTATTGATCAAGAATTAATTTGGAATTAATTTAGTGATCAGAAGAGACTATTTAAATTAATGGGGACTAATTGTGTAAACTAATTGTGTAAACTAGTTATATAATATATATATTATATATATATATATATATATATATCTATATATATATATATATATATTGTTTGGGCTTATGATACATGATGGACTAATTTTTTTAAAAAATCCATAAAGAATTAGCCCACTTGAATCATGGATCATGGATAATAAGCCCAAGGGTATGGATTAGGGTTTAACTATGACTCTTAGAATCCTACAATACTATATATATATATCTATATATATATATATATATATATATATATATATATATATATATATATATCTATATATATATATATGCACCTATAGCTAAAATCAGTTACCCGAGGGTCTTCTTGGAGTTCCTATTGCCGATTTTGAGTGCATAGAATCTCTCTCAAAAGCCCTCCTTTGTTCATGGTGTTTGTGAACCATTTGAGGCATCACATTTGAGGTGCTAAGTTCTTAAAGGCCAAAACTACAAGCTACAACAAAGAGGTAATTCCATAACTCAATTCTATGTTGTTTATGTCAATTGTATGCTAGTTGTAGGCTTAATGCTTTGGAAACAATATTGCATGTATAATTAGAGAAAACATAGATCCAAAGCATTTAGGGTTGTATGTGAACCATAGGATGTTATAGTATACTAAAACCCAACAGTTCATACCGCCATTTATGTTATTAATCGCATTCTTACTGTGTACACTTCAGGGAAGTCTCCTTATGAAATGTTGATTGGACAACTTCCAGATTATTCTCCATTATGAGTGTTTGGGTGTACATGTTTTTTCTTGAAGCCCCATGTAGAGAGAGATAAGTTGTCTTCAAAATCAGCTCTTTGTGTTTTTCTGGGATATGGTATTGCTCAGAAAGGTTATCGGTGCTATAATCCATCAAATCAGAAACTGTATGTCTCTCGCAATGTCACTTTTTTGGAGCATATTCCATTCTATAGCATTCCTGTTCAATCACATGATGCAAATAGGAGCTCCGTACTATTGATCCATTTAGCATTGGCATTGATGATTCACCACATGTCACTGATCCACCACCTGCTGCTGATCCACCACCTGTCACTGATCCTCTATCTGCAGATCAGCAAGACCCCCTCCCCTCCATTGAGGACTTATCGTAATAAGAAGTCCACAAAGCATCTTGAGTTTGTCTATTCTTCTTACTCACTAGTGTTTTCCTCCTTTATTGCTAATGTACATCGTCACTCTGAGCCAACATCCTACAAAGAGGCCATTTCTGATCCCCTTTGGCAGACCGCTATGGCTGAGGAACTTGCAACTCTTTATCATACTCATACATGGGATCCGGTTCCGCTTCCGCCCGGAAAGCACACGATTGGTTGTCGTTGGGTATATAAAATCAAAACAAAGTCTGATGGATCCGTTGAGCGTTATAAAGTCGGACTTATTGTGAAAGGGTACGCACAAAAGTATGGTACAGATTATGAGGAGACGTTTGCTCCTGTTGCAAAAATGACGACTGTTCGCACCTTGATTACAGTTTCTTCCATTCGCCAATGGAAGATTTATCAGATGGATGTCAAGAATGTGTTCTTGAATGGTGATCTTCATGAGGAAGTATACATGTCTCCTCCCCCTGGTATTGCTCACCAACCAGGTGAAGTTTGTCGATTTCGGAAGGCACTATATGGCTTCAAACAAGCCCCTCGTGCTTGGTTTGAGAAATTTTCTATGGTGATTACTTCGCTTGGTTTTCAACCAAGTAACCATGACTCGGCTCTATTTGTTCGATGTACCAATGCAGGTCGGATTATTCTTTCCTTATATGTCGATGACATGATTATTACTGGTGATGATCATGATGGTATAGAGTCTTTAAAGCGTGATTTAGCTCACTGTTATTTCTTGGGGATTGAAGTTGCTCAGTCTCCAAAGGGTTCTTTTATCTCAAACGAAGTATATTTCAGATTTGTTTGAACGCGCACGACTCACGGATAATCGGACAATTAATACACCTATAGAGAGTAATGCAAAGTAGTCTCCAACTGATGGTGTCCTATTATCTGATCTAAGCCTTTATCATACCATTGTAGGGAGTTTGGTTTACCTGACTGTCACTAGACCGGATATTGCTCATGCAGTTCATGTGGTTAGCCAATTTGTCACTGCTCCCACTATTGTTCATTGGGGAGATGTTCTTCGTATTTTGAGGTATCTACGTGGTACTCAGCTCCGCACTCTTGTGTTTCCATCTACATCCTCTCCTGAGTTGCGTGCCTATAGTGATGCAAATTGGGATAGTGATATTTATGATCGTAAGTCCACTACTGGGTATTTTTTTTCTTGGAGATTCATTGATATCATGGAAAAACAAGAAACAAGATGTTGTCTCTCGATCTTCTACATAATCTAAGTATCAAACCATGGCTATCGCTACTTGTGAGATTGTTTGGTTGAGATGACTTCTTGCAGATATGGGCGTTCACATCTCTCAGCCTACCCCTTTGTATTGTGACAATGAGAGTGCGATAATGATTGCCAAAAATTCAGTGTTTCATGAGCGCACAAATCACATTGAGATTAATTGTCATTTCACACGACATCATCTCCAGAAGGGCACTAACTCCCTTCCTTATGTTCCTTCCTCTTTGCAGATTGTTGATATTCTTACGAAGTCGTTGACTGCTCATCGATTCCATTTTCTGTCTGACAAACTCTAAATGCTTATTGTTGTTGCATTGTGAGTTTGAGGGGGATGTTAGCCTAATAAGATTTTGGGCTTTATCTTGTATTGGGTTTTATGATTGGGTCGTTTAACTAGGCAACCTAATTAGCTAGTCTATATATTATGTATTTCCCTTTCATTGTATGTGTACTTGATGTATTTCCCTTTCATTGTATGTGTACTTCTCTTTGATAATAATACGAAACTCTAGTCGTTATGTGTCTTTCACTTGTTAGTTTTCATATACATTCTCGTAATATACATTCTTGTAGTCAAGACTCGACTCTCAAGCAACTCTATCCCTTTTTTATTTATTAAAAAGCAATATCTTTTCTCTACATTTACATCCAACAATCTCACATTTTTGTTAGCTTATTAATAAACCAATTCTGAAATCAGAGTAGGACATGTTTAAATCGTACCGAAGCCATACCTAGGTAATACCGGATCTTTGATTACTTTTATCTATCAACAAATTTTATTACTTTAAAGACTATATAAATATATGCACAATAAAACCTGGAATGACTATGCATAGATCACCCCTATTTGTGTGATCCGTTCTAGTGACAGCATTCCCACTTTTATTATCACTTCCGGTACTGGCAGGGGCAATTACCATGTTATTAACCGATCGAAACTTTAATACAACCTTTTCTGATCCCGCTGGAGGGGGAGACCCCATATTATGCCGGCATCTCTTTCGGTTCTTCGGTCGGTCATCCAGAGGTGTATATTCCCATTTTACTTTATTTTATAATAGACTAACATCTTAATACTTTTGGTTAATTTATTGTTTTTTCGAGTGTGCGCTCAAGATAATAATAGTAATACTATAATCAACAAGCTTTGCATTTATCAAAGTATATAAAAACTTTTGTATGTAAAATCCATTCAAAAATTTGAAGTCAACCACTGTTTTCAAGAAAAAAAAACTTGCCACCCACCAATAAAATACTATATCTACGACCCTCGTCGTTCACCTTTGTGTCGTTTTTGTTCAAGCCCAGAAGCCTCATTTAACATATCAAGTGCATCTTGATGCATGTCCAGCTTTCCAAGAGCAACCGACTGCATGTAAAAGGCTGTGGGCCAGTCTGCATATACAATCTGTGCTTGCATGGCGTCTCTAAGAGCAGCATCCGGTTGATCACATAGCAAATAGCACAAGCTTCTCCTTGCATAAACTGTTGGTGAAATCATCGTTCCCACATCTATGAACTGTGTATGCACAATTTTCAAGAAAATGGGTGTGTCAGGTCAAAAGAGATAAACATTTACACTACATCAATCGACACATTCACAATTGTTAATGAATTGTTTCTTCTTTAGCCATTTGATTCTAACATAAATCGACACATTGTTAGGTGAACAAGTGTAAATTGTCATATCTAGAAATAAATCAATAATAAAACCGTATATATAATAACAATTGTACCTGTGAATAAAAGTCAATGGCAGCTTTGAAGTCCTTATCACGGAATGCTTGGTCTCCTCGTTTCCTTGCCTCCAACATATCTCTCATCTGCTGAGTCCATTCTTGGAACGACAACTAAAAAAAAAACAAAATATTTGAAGGATAATATGAACATAGCACAAGGGATACGTTATAAAGTTAAAAGGTACAATGAACATAGCACAAGGTATAAGTCGAATTACCTCATTAGTTCCAGTTCCTTCATCATCACGATAATGTGTCATAACCAAGATTTGATGAATTGCAGTAAGATCCTTTCGGGAACAAGCCTCTCCTAGAGGTGAAAGTGGGCGTTGTGGAGTTAATGGAGCTTCCTCTTGTTTAGAAATCCCAAGCATTACATGAGATGGAACCTAAAAAAACCCATAATTAATATTTCCAAAAAAAAACGATAATAAATTACAAATTACAAAACATCAAGATATCTCCTTACGTCACATTTGTTTTGAAGTGGACCAAGTGTTGCAACAAGGTCTTTAATGGTAGGTCTATCTTTCGGTTCATATTGCAAACACTTAGATGCAAGATCAACGACAATAGTTGCTTCATCGGTTGAAAAGTTCCCTTCTAGATGTGAATCCATTAAAAGTATGATGTTTTTTCCACGAATCATATCGAGCGCCTACATTTAAAAACACTAAATGAAACTTCATTTTGTAAAAAATGAAATAAATCGGAAATGTTAAAAATTTAAAAGGCATAAAATGGAAAGAAACAACTTACGTGACTTGGTGGGATGTGTTTCCCACTTAGGAGATCTAAAAGAACTGTTCCAAAGCTATATACAACGCTTTCTGGGGTGACTCTTCCTATAGAGAATATAAAGAACGAGTTAATAGAGAAAGTTATAGAAATGAGGCTTTTCCACTTGCCCACGTGTGTAGTCATTTTCTCAAATACATTTTGAACACCATTTATCTACTACTTAAATGGGAAAAGAGTAACATGTCCTATGAAGCTATATAGAGTATACCATGAGGAATATAAACAGGCCCGTCCCAGAGGGTGGGCAATAGGGGCGACAGTCCATGGCCCATCTTTTAAAGGGGCCCAAAATTTTATGGACTTTATTAATGATATGTTAGAAAAGATCAATCTTGAAGACATCATTAATAATTTTTCATCTCAAAAATCTAGAAAAATTATTTTTCTTTAAATATGGATTTTTATAATCGAAAATATTATATTTAGAAGCTAGTATAAATAATTTTCTTTCACTTATTGAGTTATTATAAAAAGGTTAAAGAAATATGTGTATTTTAAAGGTCTTTTTTCCTCTCTCGTCCTAGGCCCAAAATATGTTTAGAACGACCCTGAATATAAATGATTACCATGTTTGAGATATTCTGGAGGCGTATATGCAAGATTCGTGCTATAGCTTTTTCCATCTCGACTGTTTCTCATGAATCCAAAACACGAAAGGCGGGGATCTCCCTCCTATAAGGTTCATCAAACCAATAATTATTAGCTAATAGATACACATGTATTTGTCAAAATGTAAAAAAAAATTACTCCATTCCCAAAAAAAATAAAAACCTAAGTGAATGATCTTAATGGCCCCAGGACAAGACAGGACATGACAGTTGTGGTGATGTCAACAGGTCAGAATTTGTAATATTTTGTCTAACCCTAAAAGGTTGAACAAGATTTGCTCGCTTTTAATCTTTTGTTTGTACAAAAGAGATAAATGTCCTCATACTCATCATAGAAAAAGAACCATAGAAATATTGAGATGGAGAATTGGAGGGTATAATAGGGATTTCTGTTATGCACCTCGTCAAAGAGAACCCTATATGCATTGAGGTCATGGTACACTTCACGACCTTCGGTGCTACAATAGTTTAAGGCATCGGATATGTATTGAGCCACCCTTATTCGCATAGCCCACTCGATTGTTTGATTTTCCCCTGTTAATTGTTACATTTAAGTAAACTGTCATATGACACGTATACGAAAGGAAATAAATTAGCGCAAAATGCAAGAAATAGCAACACACTTTCATTTATTTGTGTATTATAGCATCCTGCTTTCATTTCCTTTTACTACAACACCCTTCTTTTTTTTTTTATTATAGCATTATACTTCGAAAATCTCCCCAATTATATCATTGTTGTGTATCTAGATGACATTGCTATAATTGGGTAGATATTTTAATACAATGTATAGTAAACAAATCAATGAAAGTATGTTAATTATATTTCTTGCATTAAACACATGTTTTATGAATGATAAATGCATAGATTAGAATCATAATTACAGTGAAATAAATGCTTAGCAAGAGTGTCATTTGGCATGTACTCAGCAACAAAGCAACCTCTCTTCACCATCACAACAATAACCGATTAAATTAGCCAGCCTTTTATGTCGCAGCTTCCCTACACCCCATGCTTCCTCCTACAAAATTAAAAAAATTCATTGTCAATTTTTAAAAATATATAAATCACAAGAACAATTAAATGAATACTCCCTAGATTTGCGTGGTCAAACATAAGACTTTTTGAAGGCAAAATTGATAGGTATGTATCTACGAATTAAACGCAAATACAATTGTCTTTATGCAATACACGTAATAATATAATATTGATTATGATCGTTATGGAATTTTTTTTCGAATTCATTGAATTTTTTGAGTGCTAAAGTTGGTCCATTTTGACTTTAAGAAAGATTTACTAAAAGTCTAATATAAATAGACTATCTCAAATTCTCAAATTCTCAATGATCGTATTGTAGAAAGCTTATTATACAATGAATGATTAACCATTAGATTAGTTTAGTAATTAGTAGTTTAGCACATCGTTTTTGTCAAACAAAAATATATATTAATTGTTGTTATCAATAAATATTCGGTGGGTATAATTTCCATGGGAAATTGAAGCAGAAATAAGCATATAGTTTATATGGAATTGAATTTCATAAAAATAAACGAAATTCGATGAATTACCGCAAATTGTTTAGGGTCCGGCCATGCCAATTTGTTGAATTTCTTGACAGCAATCCACCGACGATTCTTGAGCCTTCCTTTATACACAAGATTGGGTGCTTTTTCACCACTTTCAGATACAATTAAATCTGTACTGAAATTATTAGTAGCAGTTTTTAGGTCGGCGAAAGAGAATTCAGAGAAAGAAGGAGTAGCACCACCACCACCTGCACCACCGCCACCAGGACTTGTGGTGGTTTGTGGCGGAACCTGGCCGGAAAACTTTTGTGGGCTGTTGGTGGAAGGTGGGTTTGTTTGATTATAGCTAAAAAGATTGCTTTTTTGATGGTTCTGAAACTGATTCCTTTCTGGGTTTGTTCTTGATTTTGGAGCTGATGCACAAAGACCCATGATTTTGATTCAATTTTCTTCAAAGATATGGAGAAAAAGCCACCGATTGTAGAGAGAGAAAATAAAGAGAGAGATGAGCATATATTTCTTCTTAGGTTCTAATTTCTATCGCTTCTTTTTTGTTGTCTTTCATATACAGAATGAGATAAAAGGGGTCACAGTTGTTCGATGCTTCATAATCTAAATTCAATACAATTTTTCTGTCTTTTCAGACCATCATGTTTGGTGGGCATGTATTTTTAGTAGTTTTATACTAAATATGTTCCGATTCTGTCTGGATTTTCACAATAAAATAATAAAAAGAGTGAATTACGAATATGGTCCTTGTACTTTAATAAAAAAATACAAGTTCAATTCTAAAATATGAAATTGTATCAATTTCGTCTTTTAAGTTTGCATTTGCTTGTGAATATGGACCTTATATATTTTACACAAAATCCAAAGTTCCACCTAGATATTAAAGTCGTTTTATATGGGTCATTGAGTCAACAGTGTATCAATAATGAAATGCAAACTTAAGGCTACTCGGACCCGTTATTGTGCCTAATAACACGTGATAACGCCAATAAACACCGCCTCTCCCTCCTGTTATTGTGTGTTAAAGGCAACGTCGTTAATTCCCGTGACCACCATAACATTTGGTAACGGCGTTTCCTTGTTTTTTCTCCTAATAACTCGTGTGGGCGTTGCCCACACCCACCTCTCTAATGATGTCACAAGAATTTATAATATGGACTGTACTTGTATTTTCGGGTAAAACATAAGGAATAGTTTACTCCAATTTAAATAAAAGATTTTTTTAGGTCCTGTGTGACTACCTAAGCTAGCTTTTTAATTAATAATGTTTGTAAAGATTAATTGATAAGTTAGATTGAAAATACAAAATAAGATAATTTAAAATTAGCATTAGATATAATTAAAAAAATTTTTTAAAAATTTTTTAAAAATTTTCGATTCTCAAAAACTATTTAAAATAGATTATAAAAAATAGCTTATAAACTAATTTATAAGATAAAATAAGCTAATTTTTTGGTTTTAACCAATCAAAAAATTACAATAAACTAACTTATTTTTGTCAAAGAAGATCTTAACATCACATATATTTTATTCATTATTATTTCAATGCATGGTATATATAATTTGTTACATTTATTTATCATTATAATTAATCTACCGATCGTCGGTACACTGTAATTCGAGAAATGAATTATGTTTAAAATATATTTTAGATAGAGACTATTTACATGGGTTTAATCTTTTATTTTTGTCAAACTCAAATTTAGATAGATTTAGATATCGATGGTCAAAGTTATAGATATAACAAAAAATGTTTGATCAGTAAAAAATAAGTTTTGGTTTTTATTAATGCAACTTTTTACGATCAACGTTTAGATTACAAATTATATAACTTTTGGTTGATAGATTATAATGTTTTGTTATATTTATTATTTTTGGGTATTTGACTTCAATAACATTTTAATTTAATTAAACCGTATATGGCCAAATTTTATATTGTCATGATAGAATGGTGAATAAATATGTATAGTTGGCTGTTAGGCGTTCACAACACATTTGTACAATAACATCATTTACTCACTTACGTGCACATGTTATATAGTAATGCCATTTACTTCATTTACATCAGTATGTACAGTTAATATGAAATTATATTTGTTGACTTAATTAAAAGAAAATGTTTAGCTTATGAGTTTTTAAATGTAACATAAAAAATAATTATATTTTAATTATAATACTTAGCTACCGGTCTACTATAACAGAATAGCAGCTGATTATCACAAGCATCATAAATAAATTAGTTAAGAATTCTTTAGAACATGCATGGATGGAAGATCACCTAATATTCCATTTTAGAAGGCGACTGATTTATATATATATATATATATATATTATATATATATTATATATATATTATATATATATATATATCTTATAATATATATATATATATAGAGAGAGAGAGAGAGAGAGAGAGAGAGAGAGAGAGAGAGAGAGAGAAAGAGAGAGAGCGAGGGAGCTACGTTCAAATATGAATTGATATTTATTGTACGGATGTGTGGAAAGTGCTATTCGGTGAAAATAACAAAGAAAATATGTTGTTTGATAATGTGAATACGTTCAATCATACATAATTATCGTCATTATCACATATTCTCACTAATTAAATTGTCTATAAGGTTATTGTAAACTTTTTTTATTATTCTCATTCTGTCAGAATGTTTATTGAGTCGTATTCTGTAAGAATGAAAATGAGTGAAAAACAATGCGTATGAATAAGAATTAGTGAGAATCCATGAAAATGACGATAATTGTGTGAGGTTGAACGTATTCATATTACTAAACAACATATTCTCTTAGTAATTCTCGTTGAATAGCACTGTCCACACGTACGCACAATAATTGTCCATCCGGTAAGAAATTTTTTTGGTAGGAAAGTAGTTTTTTTTTTCGGCATATTTTTTTTGGCGAACAAAACAAATAAATCACTAGATGAATCAAAATTTAGATGATTCATAAATAAAATTCCCAAAAAAACATTTTGATCATTTATTTTTACGATGACTTTGTTGATATTCATTAAAATTGTCATAAAAATGAATTTTTTTTTTCATAATTTACTTTAAAATGAATCATGAAGTTGTTTTTTCGGGAATTTTTTCTTATGAATCATCTTATTTTTGAATCATCTAATGATTAATTTTGTTTTTTTGCTAAAATATATGTATATAAAAAATTTGTTACATTCCTACCAAAAGTTTCCTTCTTTTATATATATATATATATATATATATATATATATATATATATATATATATATATATATATATGGGACATTAAAATCATTGTGCTTCAAGATAAATGATTTATCTTTCCCCATATGATTGTTTTTTCTATTTTAAAGGTTTTCTGTATTTTCATTAAAATATCATAATGATACAAACATGTATATATAGTCTACGTATTTACATGTAGGTACCCTCATAATATGGTTAATACAAAATACAAATAATGTTGAAATAATGCTACGCTAATAGTCCTCCGCAGTTCGAGTGGGAGGAGAACGAACGCGCAAATTGGACCTGAAGTTGGTGAACAAATGTCGAAGAAGACCCTTTGTAAAAATGTCGGCATATTGAATTTTTGAGGGGACATGAAGAACCCGAATGTTCCTGAGGCGAACCTTTTCGTTATTTGATATTGTTCATTGTGATATATGGATTTAACCTATTCCAAGCAAAACTGGTTACAAATGTTATATGGTTCTTATTGACAACTTTACAAATTATGTTTGGGTGTATCCTTATAAATTCAAATTTGAAACTTTTCCTACTTTCGTCAAATTTCACACATTGATCAAAACTCAATTCAATAAACCTATCAAAAGTTTTTAGTGTGATTTGGGGGTGAATTCAACAATACTGGGTTGAAAACCTTTGTGAATAACCATGGTCTCATATTTCGATTTGCTTGCCCTCAAACCTCACCCCAAAATAGCAAAGTGAAAAATATGATTCAGCATCTTAATGATATTACTCATGCTCTTTTAATGCAGGCATACTTACCAACGGTAACTTTTGTTATTCAAAAAAATTGTCTGTATTTTAAGCCAAGCATCTCTAGCGGTATTGTCATTCTCTAGAATTCTGAGTAACTGATCATCACATAGTGTGTCATAGATCCACTGTAGGACAATGGAATCAATCTCGGCCCAGAAGAGTATGTGGGGTCGATAGGCGTAGGAGGGTCAGTGTCATCAATGTGTTGTAAAACTTTATACCCCTTTGCATGAAGTTTAAATAATTTGACCCAAGATGAGTACGTGACTTTAGCTCCATCAAGAATGTGTGCCTTATTCTGAATATTCGTGACCATAATGGGATGGAGAGTAAAGTTTTTAGCAGAAGGAGGATCGCTAGCTTCTCCTGTCATTCTGGCTTTTCGGCGGGAGTATTGCAGATCGGATAAGAGGCGATGATGATGGTGCAATCTCAATGTTGTGAGATGGAGACTGTAGAGGATCTGGATTTTCGGCTATTGTTGATCGTGATTAGAGACAATAAAGAAGTAGATGAAGACGAGCTGATCGGATGTGAGATCGTTCAGATGTGAGGAGATGCCTGATTGACGATTTTAGGGTTTGGATGTGATCGTAATCACGTATTGCTCTAATACCATAAAAGTTTTATGTATTCTCATTAAAATCCCGGAATAATACAGATATGCATATATAGTCTACATATTTACATGTAGGTACCCTCATAATATGGTTAATACAAAATATAAACAATGTTGAAATAATGATATGTTAATATATTTGTCTCACATTGCTTCACACATATATCTAACCTTTCATCTTTCTCCAATATAATGTAATTAATTTGTTTCTTTTATCCTTCACTCTTGATTCTTGATTCTTGATTATAATATGATTTTCAAAGTCTGTTACGAATAATATTCGTTAGTGGTCATTTTATCATATAAACATGTTTTTATCTCAAAGTGTCAAAGGACATTATTATTTGGTTTAAACTTCTAGAAGTATTGAAACTTAAAAGTTATTATAAAAATTAGTTAAACACTTAAAACTGATTAAGTTTGCATGTTCATAGTATGTCATTTTCCTTAGTCCAATGTGTAGTGATACATGAAAATTTCTTTCGAATCATCATAATACATAATTTCTTTTTTGACAATGAACGTTTGAACATTGTTTAAAAAGATTAAGTTGAACATTATATATATATATATATATATATATATATATATATATATATATATGTGTGTGTGTGTGTGTGTGTGTTTAAAAAAATTAAACTTTTAGGTAAACGTCAAAAGTTAAAATTATGTACTAAAACTCGTTAAAAATATTTGACTTGACTGGGTTAACAGATTTTTTTTCCTAAGACTTCCCATGGTGGTTACAAATATAAGTTGAAAGTTTACGATGATAATGTTTTCATTAAATAATGTTATTTTAATATCATTGTTTTATATTCTAGCTATCAATATGGGGCATCATAAAAGGTAGAAAATATGATAACTTTACAAAAATAAAAAATAAAAAATCATGGTCGAACGCATGGTTTCTAGAATGTTGTAGTTGATGCTTAAACCAGTAAAAATCAAGATTATAAGAGAACAAAGATATAAGAGAAAATGTTTTGGCCTCTTATTTATAGAGTAAAAGAGTTTATTAAGTTT